CCATCGGTGGACGTGACGGTGAGGACCCTGTCCAGGTCTTCCACCAGCTGCTTGAAGGTGGGCCGCTGCGAGGGGACGGCGTGCCAGCACTCCCGCATGATCATGTACCTGCGTGAGACGGGAGAGGGGACTGTCACCCGTGGTGGGGCTAAGCCCCGCCCACCTGCCTGCCCACCCACCCCCAAATCGCCTGAGAACAGCTATGGCCAACGCAACTTCAGCCATGGTGGCCTTGGTGCGTGGCCAGCTTGGGGGAGGAGGAGGAGCAGAGTTTTGTGGAGCCACACTCCTCACTATTGATCTCCTCATGCGCGTCCGTGCTCTCGAAGCAGGAGGAGGAACCGTCCTAAAGATGACACAACCAGAGCTGCAACCCCAACCGCCACCCACCAAATGAGTCATGGGCTGAGCCGAAATGTGTCGGGGTGGGTAAATCTACCCCCTGCCAGCTCCACAATCTCACAGCGGGGTTGTCCCACCGGCCTGAACCATGGCCCGGAGTGGCATTTGGCTGCAGAGGGAAGGGGGAGCGGGGCGAGGGGGTGACCCCCCACCACACACTCACAAATCATGGGTGCAGTTTGCAGGTTTGTCCATCCGATGGCCTTCCTTCAAGAGTTTGAAGAGTTCCTCAACGGGAATTCCTGGGTACGGAGACCCTCCCAAAGTGAAGATCTCCCATAGTAGCACTCCAAAAGACCAGCTGGAGACCAAAGAAAGATCTTTAAAATTCAATGAGGTTTTTTTCCAAGCCCCCCCCATATCTCCTCCCCCCTGCTCGGCTTTATTTCTGTGCAGCCATGCATAGCTAACAAAGTCATCAATAGCATGACTAATTGCCTAGGCCATTTTTACTAGTTACTTGGAGATCTCTGCTGATCCAACTCAATAGCAAAGAAATCCCAGGCACCAAGTCTGAAATTGAAATGAGCATTTAATCAGATAGGTGACAGCCCATCTATTACCCCCAGCTCTTTGTTAGGTCTTCCACCAGCTCCACTGAATGGAACAAATCAAATTATTCATGCACAGCTTCACTGAATTGCAGGCTTGGAACCACAGGCCACTAATTGTGCAAGCTGATACCAAAACTTGCTTGTTACAACACTCACTTCACTGGCCAAGCTGGGAGAAAAATACCCCAACAAAAATCAGCGGAGCACTAATGTTACACACTCCACTCCCGCCAGCTGTGCTCTGGTTAAAAGTCCTCTTTTTCAAAAATATCTTTTGCCTTCTTCGCTTTCTTTTTAAAAACAGGGATTATCTGTCTCTGTTTCGCTTCCACGCACGCTCGCTCTCCCGTTCTCTAGCTTTGATTTATCTGTCATGCCCGCTGCAGCATTACCTAAGCATGGAAACTATGATTTAAGATCAATGAAAGCCAAAGTATGTGAAAAATACAGAAATAGAAAGATTCATTTGTCCAACTGCAAGCGGTGAGCCTTGAGGAACAGGCAGGCTGGCTGCTGAATTACTGTAAAAATGCCATTATTGACCAAATATTGAAATAAAAAAGCCGGTGTGCATGCTGAGCTACTTCAGTCCTTGCAAAGTTCAGATGCGATACGGATTTACACGTAAGGTGGCTCTGCTGTTTGCTTACCATGCAGAGGCACCAAAACGGACAAGACAGGATTAAGAAAAATAAAGGCAAATAAATGAAGTGGCAAAACTAGTCCGAGAATGTATTTGTTGAATATTCTCTGATCAACTCTACTAACGGCAGACAGAATATTTCAAGCTCATCCCATGTACTCAGCTGAAGCGTAAGTGTCTGGGGCAAAGCGTGGAGGAAGCCGAGGGTAATATTTTTTGCATGGAGTTTTTTTGCACAAATTTTTTTGACCACAGGATGAATCTCCTCTCTATAAACTGGACAAGAAATACCTGCCTGCCTTCCAATAATTTTTCAGCAGCTCACTAGACATCCTCGGATGAAAGCAACTAGATAACAGTAAAATAAAACCATGTGTGCAAAGCTGCAGCTTGGAAATCGATTCCTTTGCTTTTGCATCCCCAGGCGCCCCAGCAGTGAACGAGCCCTGCTCGTGCTTAGCAGTACGTTTGTCTTTAAGATACTATAGGTGTTGATTTCCCTGTCATTTTATTTTTTTTGAAAAGTGCGGGTATGCTTACACATCGCTCTGGTGAGTATAGACCCGGTCAAACAAGGCTTCTGGAGCCATCCATTTCACAGGCAGCCGACCCTGTAATTAGGAAGACAATGGGAACATCCCATCAGCATATTCCCCCAGCCACAACGGCACCATCTGAATCTTCTTTTCTAATCCAGTTTGAAACATTTTCATTAACAACCACATCTGCCTTCCCGGTCACTGGGCAAAGCAGTAGTGGCCACATATAAACAGATTAGAGCATTTGATCCCTGGATCTTTGCTGACAATCTTTGCAGTAAATGCTCTCTGTAGAGGACTATATTTCACTGCCAAGGCAAGTTTAACGTATCAGAGCATCTAAATCTTTGCATGGGAACAGCATCCATTGCTCATAAATGCAGCAAGCTCTGCAGCAGAACATGGGACAACACTTTCCATCTCTTTGGTTGGAAGAAGCAGTTTGACTCCAAGTCCAAACCCTGCTTAGGCTGAACTTGGAGGGAAACTGCCAAGAGTGAAGGCAAGAGCCAGATCCTCTAAGAATCAAATCCCAATCCCGCTGGAGGCTAAAGGAGGAGTCCTGATCCCAGGTTTCCAGGGGAACATCCTACATCAGGGTCATAAACATGGGCTGTCACATATGAGAAATAAAGACTAGATTAATCATAAGTCTTTCAGGCTTTGCTTGGCCCCTCGAGGGAGTCAGAAAGGACTGTTTCATGTCTGAGGCATAATTTGGCTACGGGAGGGCTTTGTCCTCTTCTGACCCACTGTCTCACTGGGGGAGACAACTAGAGATGGGACATAGGCAGGATGCACAAATGGGATTATGCTCTCAGCTGTCCAACACAGCTCAAACAGTGAAAATCCATCTGATCTACGATTAAAATTCCGAAGAATTTTTATTAATTTATGATTAAGAAATCCCAGCAATTAAGAAAGATTTTTGATATGATATTGGAAAGGATCAGTATGGACATGGTGGGCTTCGTAGGACTGCCTGGACATTTAGACCCCTTGCAATCACAAGGCCCTCAGCTTCTGCAATACCCTCAACCTCTTCCACTGCCATCTCTGCACTCTGTTGTAGTTGTGGCTTTTGCTCAGAGCTACACATCTGCTGCAGGGCTCTGAACCAAGACATAGGTCTTCTCTCCAGCCCTTCATTCGTAAATTCATCTCTAAAAAAAAATACAAATGACTCCAGGACTCAGCCCTTGTCTGGGACCATCTTTTCACCCTTGGCAGTGGAACCAAGGAGCTCAGTTGTAAAAAGGAGAGAGAAATGCATGAAAGCCAGGTAGCTCCATGTATACAAAAAGTGACACTCTTCTGTCAAGGGCTCTGCTGGGACAGAAGTTGGCTCCTTGGGACCTTTATGAACAGTAGTGGAGCAGACCGGAAAGGGCTCCATTCCCTGTCGGTAAAAACCTTGGTTTCTCTTAGTCTAGAGCCTCCTGGCCAGAGCCGAGACCTCTCAACCAGCTGCTAGCACCAGCAGTATCTGTCAGGAACAAAACAGATGATGGGTGGACTCCTGGGGCCATCCTATCTACAGCCCCTCACGGGGTGAGGCCACCGGCAGATTTCTTCTTCCTAAGCCTCTCTAGAAAGGGAGATGTGGGACAAGGGCCACTTGCTGCAGGGATGGCCGAACTCCCTGCCAGAAGGAGAACTGCACGTGCTTGGCAGCTCTGTACTTACATTGGTGGTTTTCTTGTAATAGTCGATGTTGTGAACGTCTCTAGCGAGGCCAAAATCAGCTATTTTCATCACATTGTCTTCAGTGACTAACACATTCCTGGCTGCCAAGTCGCGATGAATGCACTGTGAAAGGTGAGCAAGTCAATAAATAAGGGCTTGTTAGCTGCCTGCGCCTGGAACCAACAGCACCATGTGGTTTATAAGCTGCCGTTTCATTGACTCCCAAGCTCATAAAGCTGTGGGCACTGCTTAACTCCTCGCTTTCTGTGTCACTGCCCCATCATGCATGCTCTGTGGGAGCCACCTCTTAGCAACACCTAATCGGCAGCCTCAGCACTGACACAGCCACGCGTCTTTTCTCTCCAAAGAGGATGTACAGATGAGAAAGCCAACCCTCCTCTTCTGTGGGAGCCTACTGGGACGTGAAGTTGTCTTTCTGCCCTGCATCCTCCAGGAAGAGGAGTGCAGGCTGATGTTTGAATGAAAAAAAATCCTCAAATTAAGATATCCCCAACACATCCAAAGTACATAGAATCATAGAATGGTTTGGGTTGGAAGGGACCTTTAAAGGTCATCTAGTCCAATACCCAACATCATAGCTGTCAGCTGAGAAAGAAGCTAAATTAGCCTGCCCTGTGCAGAAAGAGAGTTCAAAGCCACCATGAACCATCCACCTGAACTGCAGTCACAGGACGAACACATCTGACATTTGAACTGAACTTGCTCTTGTGGTAGTGCTCCTTGCCCACAAAAAGCGGTCCCTCTGGCTGGTGCACAGCTTCCTGAACCCAAAGCCTGATTCTCCACTTGCTGATGTCAGGATAAATCAGGACTAATCCCAGGGTATGATGTAAGCAAATGCAGCAGCCGGCTCAATGCCAGCAAAGTGCTCCCCAGGGAACATCCTGGACATGGCCATGCATCGAGCCAAATCCACTGCCAGCTCCGCTTCTCACCAAGCTGGTGACAGACGCAAACACGTGAGCTACACCCAGGATCTCAGCTTCCTCGTAGGTGCTCTGCATCTTTAGCGATCTCAGAAGGGAGATGAGGGGGACAGGGGTGCATGCAGCTCCTTTAGACGTCTAAATCAATGCCTCCCATGGTGGCAGCTCACAACTTGGTGTGATGCTTACCCTGACCACTGCTGCCCGAGCCTCAGGGTTGCACATCTGAAAGCCAGTTAGTTACCTCTCTGAGTGGTAAAGGTTGAATTGCTGAAGAATTGCACCAAGGTCTGGGTTGCTTGTGCGTTTGTATGCGTTTTGGGGATGCTAACAGGCCTGCAGGTGACAGCGAGGGCTGTGCAGCTGCATGGCTCATGGATGCAGCCAGCATATGGGAACTTCTGCATACGGCTGAAGCCTTCTGCAAAAAACCCAAGATACTTCACACTGAAAAATCTGGTCTCTAAAGGGAGAAGCCTGCCACACTTTGCCTGAGTTGTCCTACACACACACAGAGCACTGCATGCCTTTGAACACACGGGTCTGACCGACACGTCTATCAAATGAGGTTTCTCAACTCACTTTCTGAGATGCCAAGTACTCCATGCCACGGGCCACCTGGTAGGCACAGGAAACCAGGTCTTTAAAGGTCAACTGCTCCTCCGGCAGCTTGCAGGTGTCGAAGGAATAGTCCATGCCAGGTGGGCGACGTGCCCTGAGGTATTCTCGCAAGTTCCCCTTCGACGCGTATTCCACCAACACGTAGAGCGGTCCTGCAAGCAAGAGTGCCATCAGCATCCAGTGGAGGAACAGCATGCGCTGCCTGGGGGCTAGGCTGACCACCGAAATCTCATCTGGGACATTTTGGGCAGCCAGTGAGTAATTACACAGAAAGGACAGTCAAACCTGAGCCTCCCACAGCCCTGCGAGCAGTGGGCTGCTTTGCTACGTACCGTCCTGCGTGCAGGCACCGAGGAGGTTAATAATGTTTTTGTGCTTCCCAATCATTTTCATCATTTCCATCTCAGAGACCAGGTCGGAAAGGTCCTTGTCTGTGGCATCATCTGGAGAAAGCAAGAGAGGAAAGCAAAAGAATGTCAGGAAGAAAATAAGTGTTTTGTGAAGTAGTTAATACGACTGCAGTGTAGCCATGCGGGGCTTTGATAGGGAAACAGTACTCAAAACATGACAGTGTTTATTTTTATTCTATTTTGGGAAGAAGAATCAAAATAAAACCAAACAATACTATCTCAAAAAAAAAAAAAAAGAGAATATTTGTTCAAGAAGAAAAAACAAATAGATGGAGAGAAATGTTCATATAGAAATCAATAAAACCTTTCCTCTTCTGTTTCATCCTGATAAGTATTAAAGAAAAAAAGTCAGTTTTGGTACCTGGCACCATTTTCCATTTCTCATTGTTTCCCTCCCTCGTCTCCAGGAGCAAAGAGTTAAGGATGGGAGAAAGTCAGAGCTGGGAGAGGGACTAGAGGAAAGAATGTATTTTTTGCACAGAAAGCTGTAATTTTTCTACGAAAGTAGAGAAACTACCCCCCATTTTCTACAAAAGTAGAAAAATGGGGGAAAACCTCCCCAGATGAATGCTTTGGTTTGGGAAGACGAAAACGTTCCTGCTTCCAGAAACAACTTCAGAATGGACTGAAGGAAATGTAAACGAAAAGAATCCTTTCCTGAGAAGGAATACTATTTTTTTAAAGATGTCACCCCGTGTAACCTCAAACCCATGCTGCTCACTCTTGGAGCATCCGCCCTGCTTGCTCCAGCTGAACTCCTCAGGGTGATTTTGTCTGTGTGTTGTCTGTGGTTACTGTGCGCGGAGGAAGGATGGGAAACAGAGATTCATCCGAAGGTGCCCAGCGACTCCCCCATTTTTGGCCTCCCTTTAACCTCTCAGGAGTTTGGGATCGAGTTTCTTCAATGAAGAAACTCCTCAAGAAGGAGCTTGTCAACCGAATTTCTGCAAACTCCACCTGAGTTTGTTGCACAAGCTTTTGCTAGAACAGGCAGCGCTAGTTACAGGAGGAGTAAGGAGCGAGCTGATTCATGGAGCTGGCTAGAAGTGAAGGGGGTTCCCCTTCTTCTCAGGGATGCTATTACCCCTTGGCAGAGAACTGGGTTAATTCCCATTCCCCCTTCCTGATGGGATTTGCACTTTTACGTGCTCCCCAAGGAGACAGCCCTCACCCCCAGGCTGTGTGGGTGAAGGGGAAGAAAGGCTGTTCTTGCTTTCTTCTATTGTATCTGTTTGTATAAAAGACTTAGGAGAGGGAACGAGATGAAATCCCAGCACAATATGCTGTTCTGCCCTCCGTGGACTCCCCATACCTTTTAACATCTTGACAGCAACTGTGATGGCCTTGTTTGGCTTGTCCTTATCAATCCCAATCGCTTCTGCCATCACCACTTGGCCAAAACACCCCTCGCCGAGCGGCTTCCCCAAGGTCAGGCTGGAGGGAGAAACAACAGGCGCGTTAGTGGGTACTGGGGCGGTGACACTCCCGGGAGGCAAGGGGACCCTGACCCGTGGGTTGACTGACCGAGAGCGTGCCAATTCCCACTTAGGATCAGGAGGCAGTTCCAGCTCAGAGACATTGGCCAGCATCGGCCCGTCGCTGGAGGAGAGACGCGTGATCCGGACCAGGGGTGTGTTGGAATTCATGGAAGAGTTGGACTCCAATGACACCTGCTTGGGTAGAGCAAATGAAGTGTTATTGCCAACTGTACTGCTAGGGAAGGCAGTGCGTGAGATGGACCCTGAGGGGGTTTGAGCCATCTTTGCCCACTGACACCTTTCTGGTGATTTCTAAATGAGAAATCCCCCCCACCCTCCACCTCTCCCCCATCCTTGCAGAAATGCACTGATGTAGGCACTCGTGGTCAGGTTTTTAGCTGGTGGAAAGGCGGGACAGGTCAGCCAGTGCCCTCCAGCAGGCAGGAGGTATAATCCGTTTAGCTGGTCTGTGTGCATCGCCATAGCACGTATAGGCTATGGATTGACTTCTCCTGTTCTGGCCCTGTAAATGCCCACCACGAGCTTGCAGCCAAAGCCGTTAAATCTGTATCTTTCACTATGTGGTTTTACATGGTGCTTTTTGCTCCTGCCCCTCTGCAATTACACGCAGCAGAGCATCTCTAACCACATGGAAAAAGAGGACACTCTCCCACCTCCATGAGAATTGGTTCAAGTCCCCAGTGACCTCTGTGAAAGCAGGACCGAGCACAATTAAACGTGCTCTTGCTCCCCAAATCCCCGCTCCACCAGGGAGCCTGGACTAAACTGTTCCCCTGCAAGATGTGCTTTCTGTTGCATCCACGGCTGTGCTGCCAGCCCCTCTTGGACAAGGGTGACAGAAATGTGGCTGCTTGGGAGCTGCTCATGAATCCCAGTCAGCTGCCACCAGCTAGTCCTCCACTGGAACAGAAACAAATGAATGAAAGAGGTTAAACTCCTAGACTGCAGCCAACTTACGTCCCCCTTGGGCAGCATTTTTCTGGTAGAGCTCTCACCTAGAGAGAAAATTTAAAGGAAGGGAAAAAAAAAAAAGAGGGATGACCATAGGGGGGAATAGGAATCTTGTATCTACTTTCTGTTACCTGTCTCTTGAGTGGAAATTTGGAGACTTTCTGTACAGTGGGGGTGTTCATGGCTTTTTTGCTTGGCATTTTCATCCTGCAGATAATCACAATGACCAGCACAAGGATGAAGAGAACAAAGCCAGTGCCGTAACTGAGAATGCCAGCATACACTGAGCCCGAATCATCCATTTCCATGAGCTCCTCCGCTGCGGGGTGACAAGAGACGGCAGTCAGGACGGGGTGGGCAGCTGCCCACATGCAACTACACACATGCAGCACTAGGAATTTGGAGAGGACTTGCTCATCTATGCCAATTTTCTCTCTAGGCCAGTGGTTTTCCACCTGTGGCTGTAGCTAAAACATTAGTTCAGTTTGCCTTTTTTTGGGTAATTTTACTGCCCTTTGATGCAACCCTGGGATCTCTAAGAGCCTTCAGCCCACAGGTTGAAAACCACTGCTCTAGGCTGAAGGCATCTTCACATGTCTGTGCTGCCCCTCTGACCCAGATCTTGCTTTTCCTGCACATCCACACCATGTAGCTGGATGCCTTGTATGTGCAAAGGCTGCAGGACTGGGGTTTGCTGCACTTCGCTGATTCGGCTTCTCCAGCAAAGATTTCCACCGGACCAGTGCCTGCCCTGAGGGACCAAGGGGCTTGAAGGGCACCCAGGGGTAAGGCATCACACAGAGAAAATGCCTCATGAGAGCAATCTGCATAATTATTTCATGAAAACCTAGTTCTGCTGGGAAGAGGCTGGAAGGTCTGGCCCAGACAGGTGGCTGAGCTGGGAGGGTGATGGCATGAGCCCATCAGCAGTGGCTACCTGCTAGCAAGACTTCTTTGGGACCAGCAAAGCTCAGCTGTGTTTCTCCCCTTGTTTCTTTCAGGACAGGCACATAGACCAGAGAAAGAAGCCACAGTGGGACTGGTTTTCTGTCCCCCAAAGGCGTGCTGGCGTCAGAGGAACAGTCAGCAGTGGGAAACTTTAAAATGAAGTCATGCCGGTGGGGTTAGCTTGCTAACGGCTTGTGTACATCACTGCTGCTCCAAAGCAGCGTCTTCAGCAAGTAGCGGGAGCTTTGCCCCTGGCAGCAGCAGGCTCCGAATCAGGTCTTCGGTGGCTGTCTCCAGGGGGACACGGAGAAAGGGCTGTCGGTGACATTGGGGACTGCACCAGCCTGTGTGTCAGCTGTGCAGGGCCTGATCCTGCCAAGCGGCCATCTCCTCCTGTGGGGAAGGGTTACCAGATCTCCCAGGATCAGGCACTACGGTCGGTGCCACAGCTCTGCTGTCTTGGCTCACACCGTCTCGCCCTCTGCCCCATGTCTCTCCTCCCTTAGCGTGGACAGGGGTCTACAAGCAGAAGTTCCCCAGATGGACTGTATCCTGCACCTTCTCTGTGGGTAGTGCTTCAGGGCCTGCTGCTGCACAGACGGCTGCCCTTCACTGCGTCTGACTTCAATATAAAGTTCCACTTCAGGTTTTTTGGTGGGTTTTCTCCTGCTTATTCTTTGCTTAAATAAGAGGTGTGAGTTCATACATTGTAAAAACAGCATAACAGTTGGATGAGACAGTATCAGGAAATTCTCAAAATAAGAGAGACATTAGTCTTCTAACCAAAGGAAACGATTTCTCATCCAGCGGATGGCAGAAGCAGAAACAGGATCAGATCAGCTATTTTAGAGCTGGCAAATAAACAGAGAAAAGACCAGCAGATCCCACTGACAGCAGGGTTGGGCGTGGAGGAAACCCTCTTGAGCCCCAGTAAAAGTGATTACATCCAAATCACCCGTACAGATAAAGTCAGGATTAGAAATGCCAAAGTTTCCAGTTCCTAAACACATTCCAAGATGGGTGTGTTTCAAGATGGAGCCAAATGTGGTCTGTTACTGGGTGAGCCAAAATGGGGCATATAGGATTTTGGGTAAGGCCCTTTCAGTAAGGGTCTACTGAACATACTCCAGCACTGTTCTTGCATCATCTGCAAGGCACAGCACCTATGAGATTCAATATGAATATTGCTGGTGCTTTCCTGGACCATGCTCATGCCTCCCCCGTAGCCAGAGGCAAATTCTGCAGGTGAAGGGACAGCACAGCCTCGTCCCCCTCTTCAGGAGAGCAGACCCCTCCGTTGCATATTCTGTGCTGGCTTCATTGTCAATGAGAGCTTTGCACATGAAAGGACCACAAAATTGAGGTCACTCTGGCCTCGGGTTTCAAGCCCACTGCAGCTTTCATCGATCCCAGCTGGAGCAGGCAGCGTGCAGTGGCCCCTGGGAGCCAGGACTCCTAGGCACTCTCTACAGATGACTCTCCTCGACCTTCTGTTTGAGATCGCTATCTTGGTCTGTTCATCCGTGAAGCGGAAATAATGCTACAGGCAGGGAAGGGTGTACTCACACCAACCACTTATGCATCTAATTTTAAGTTAAGATATGAGGTTAGACAGAAAGGTTCCTTCATAAGATGATCCACAGTCCCTGCCCAATTTAGGTGCCCTGGATCATCTGACGGGGAGGTTTCCTTCTCCCACTGGCTGTGTAAGAAGTCAAAGCTCCCAATTTTGGCGCTTAACAGTCTCCTAACGAAGAGAACACCTCCTTGCTATCCAGATCAAAAAAAGATACTGGGTGTTTCGTCTCATTACTGAAAAAATAATTTACATCTTGAGATGCAGTGCAAAAAGTGTCAGTTGTGAATATGCAACAGAGGTCTGCTGCTGTGCGGATTTACCACCTGCACAGCAAATCCCAGGAGGGCCCTCTTTGGATAACATGCCCTCTTCCAAGCCAGGGGCAGTCTGCAGGAACTTGGCATTTCTAAAGCAAAACGTCAAGGCATCCTGGAGAGGGAAAAAGAGAGGCCAGCACAGAAGGAAATACCTGGTAGCACCGTCAGCCAAGCAGAGTGATGTGAGAACCCAATAGAATTCCCTGCGAGACAAGTATATTCCCCAGCATCCTCAAAAGTAACATTTCGCAAGTACAGAATCTCTAGCTCCTTATCCGTTGTGTTAACACCTGCCGTCTAAGGGGAAAAAAAACACACACATATAGAAAGAGGGAAAACAGAGAATAAGCCACATTCCCAGCAAGTGTGAGGACACCACAGGCAAATTTCAAAAGCAGATTAAGGTGGGTTGTGTTTTTTTTTTTTTCCAATGGCCCATCTTCCACATTTATTTATTCATTCCCCTCTGCAACCTGTAGTCAAAGCAAAAAAAAGTTCCCTTCACCAGGTTCTTACTCTGTCCCACTAAAGAAGCATGCAAGCAAAAGCATCCAAATGAAAAATTACCCCCACAATATGACTGACTTTGGGTTAGTAGGGTGAGTACGGGGGGGGTGGGGGGAGAAAGATGGTAAAAGAGGAGAGGAAAGACAGAAAGAAAGGAGAAAGGAGGGGAGATGTAGTGGGGAAAGACTCAAGTGCTGATCAGAGGAACATACAAACATTTTGATTCATTAGTTCATTGAAAAATATAGGATTTTTGAATTTTTTAGAATTTTTTTGGAGTGGGCAACTCAAAGGCATATATTCATTACACAGCCCTCGATGCTGGAATATAACTCCGGTCAATTGCAAGAAGGTACCTGTAAGGAAGTTTCCTTACAGTGCAATGGCACTGAGCAACACAGCAGCCAAACCCTCCAGGCTGGAGTCAAACCCCAGAGCCCGCGAGATTGCTGCTGCTCTCTATTTAACATGTTTGCTTGCATGAGCCAATGTGGATATTTATTTCTACATTGCTTCTCCAAGGGACAGAAATCTGTGTACTGATTTTATCAGTTTTATGGGTGAAAATCTTGAAACAGCTTGGTTTTCCAGAGCTTTGAACGTCACAGGTCATTAACATACAATTCTGTTATCAGCACTCAATTGTAAGGAAGGGAAAGGAATAAAAGCGTGAAGAGTTGATAGCAAAATTTGACAGTCATTTTATTGTGGGAATTTTTCCATGGCAATTGCTGTATAGGCGTTACATTCTTGTAAAAAAAAAAAAATTAGCAAGAAAATAAGATAAAGCCATTCAGCGTCAGTTGACAGGGTATAATACAAAATGAATAGTAATTTTAATCACTAGCTTCTTAAAAATGTTATAGCTCATTCTTGCAGTTGCCAGGGCCTTGGGACAGAGTCTGTGGTTTACCTGGTTTTGGTTTGCGAATGTGGAGCCAAAATGGTTTTTCGGCTATGCCTACGAAATTGTTGGCTCTACACAGATATTCTCCTTCATCTTGTTCTGTCACATTGAACAGATTTAGGTTAGCATCGGCTTCAGCGTTTTTACTGATCCAAGACTGCAGGAATAGACAGAAACCTGAACTTCAGTAAACCAAACAATACCTCCATCGCACCTACATTAGCTAGGATTGACTGTTCACGGCTATTTTCTTTTCAGCTGTGGCAACATCCCCAGCTCACCCTGCGGTGAGAGGCCTAACCCAGGACCTGGGCGAAGAAGAGAAGCTGCATTTGGCCCCCAAACCACGTGCAAGTGAACTCCCTTCCCTTCACTAGCGGCACACACGCGATTTCTTTTTTAAAACAGACCAATTTCCCACTTTTCCATCTGACAGCAGTCAAAGGCCCTACAGTTTCTTAATAACTCTGCAGACAGGAGCACCAGAGAAAGGGCTTAAGCAGAGATTTGTGTTTGCAACCCGGCTCAGCAAATACTGTTTCAATTATCAGATTCCAAAATAGAATTTGGAAACAAAATATAAGCAGTGGCGGTCTGAAACTTGCTGCTGACTTTGCCTTTCAGAAATTAGCTGTAATTTTTTCCACTGCTTATAGGAGCCTCTTCTTTACTAAATAAAGTGGTGCATATAAATCAAACAAACTTCAGACTGTTAAGCAAGGGTTTTATTTCTGTTCTTCCATGCTGTCACAACAGCACATCAGTTTGTTCCCTAAACAGTTGCTTTTATTTTGGTTGAAAAGGCACAACTGTTTTGGGTGGCCCTAGAGGTAGCCTAGGGAGTCTAGAAAAAATATCAGCTTCAGTTCTGGAAATGAAAATTTAAAAAATGGTCTTCTCATTTTTTGATCTTACGTTCTCCAGCCCAGTCTTGGTGCCTTTGATTTCAGGGCCTGATCCTGCCAGTATGACTCGCAGCCCATTAAAATCAACGGGGCTGCCAGACCTGATAGGCTATTAGGAAGTGAACCCAGAGGTGGCATCAGAAAGGAGCCCCGATGTCCATGTCTCATGACGAACACCACCAGTTTTGACCTGATCTCATCTCTAAGGCTTACATGCTGGCAAGTTTGTCTGTCCTGACTAGTGGGGAAACATGCCTGCCTGCTGCTGCTGCCTTGTTTATAATTAAACCGGGCACGTTTCAATGTAGAACATACAATTTAGCCTTTGACAAAGCTTGGGCACAGTGTTGCCAGCCCGCCCCCCTGCCCTGTAACCGGAATGCGTTTAGTGCTCTTCTGCAAAGAAAAAGGGGTTTCCTTTGATCACAAATTAGCCCAGGCTTTCAGGAACTGATGCAGGTGATGGCTTGGTTTTGTCAGGCTGTTTAAAAAATGGGTTGAAAGTATAGCATTCAATTTATCCATCTGGACCAGGGTGGATGTCCCCCCCCCCACATTTAGATGTGAGAGGGGAATTTCACGTGCTGGGGACTTCTCTGTCCCCCTTGCTCCGATGGAGACTGGGATAGTCCCCATATATAAACTGCCCCATAGCAGCTCCTACACTCCACAAAATCTCCTGAAAGCAGGAGGGAAGGGCAGGCTGATAAAAAAGCCTTATCTCCCTGCAGGCACCAGAGCGCTGAGCAGGAGAGAGCCTTTTCTAAAGCAGCTGTGGGCAGGGAAGGGCTGTTAACAGCACCCTGCTCCAGCAGCACGGCCAGGATGCTGGGTCAAAGCAACAGCACTGCGTGGCACGAGGGGAACGAGTCCATAAAGCCAACGGGTTGGCCCCAAGATAACAGCGAGATCATTTTAGCACATCTTTATTTTTAAAAAACAAGCACACACATATTTAAAAAAAAAAAAAAAATCCCTGCAAAGCTGGGCCTGATACAGCCCCACGGAGGCCCAGTACTGGCACACAAAAGATGCATCCCAAAATGGAAATGCTCCATGCCCCAGCGCTGATGCCGGCATTAATACAATTCAAAGCATTCCTGATTAACCAGAAGTAGTAAATAGACGTGTGCTGGTCCTATTCAGCAAAAAAATAAAACCAAACAAAACTTGTGCTTTCAAACGCCTGCCTGTGCTCCCCTTCGAGGAATGCGGAGCCTTTGCCGTCCACAGAAGAGAAGGTATTTGGCAATTCTAATTACCTAGCCACCCCGGTGCCGCTCCAACTTAATTTTAAAACACTATTTATACGGACTATTTATATGTTCTTTGCCACAGCAAAATGGGAGCTTGTGCTTGTGACACAAGGCACTGTTCGCAGCGGCTCTGCAAACTTCCAAAAGGTAGCACTTTATCCCACGGGGACCACACACAGAGCTCGGAGACTATACTAGATGGCATGTGACACAGCCAGCTATTCAGAGCTTGGTACCGGGCTGTGAAACAAGGGGGAAATTCAAATATGCATAATTCAAACACATTTGGAGAGAGAGAGAAAAAATAAAAAGTTTTATCAACTCGTGAGAAGCGCGTGTTGCCAATCCTGAAGAACTGTCTCCAGCCATTTCTTCCAACCAATCTGTTATTTCAATCTGTGTAATTATTTCCAGGGTCTCTGGCTTTTATTATCATGTATCTGGCTGAGTTACAGTTTTGTAGATGCTGTCTGATAAGTGGGGTTTTTTTAAGACTTCATACAAAGAGAAGGGTGTGTGCAGCAGGATGTGCACGGGGAATGCCCATGCCCAGGACAACCTCAGCTTGAAACTGCAGGCACAAAATCTGCTTTCAGCTATAACTGCAGAGCCAGAAAAACTGCATTTGGCCCTACATATTTTAATAAATACCAACACAGGATGTCTTTGTTAATTAAAAGAAAAAAAAAAAAGGGATTTTACAAGTCCAATGTACTTTTCACTCTCTATTCTCTACTTTTTATATCTGTGTAGGTTGCGGGTAAACCAGAGCCGCTGGCTTTGTTCTGGCTGTAATCTGGAAGTTCCCTTTCAAGAAAGCATTTTACCAAGTGAAGCCTTACTAAGCGAGTTTTTGCTCAATAAAAAAAAGGCTTTCCTGAGCATGGATAATAGCAATGCTCACAAATGTTGAACAAGATTATCTTGGCTCTCAGGTGCTGGTAGTTCAGCGTTATTTAGTATGTGCACGCTGCAGTGTGTTTACTTGGAAAAGGAAAGAATGTGTTTTAGTTGGGAGCCTTTTATTTTAACAAGCCCCCAAAATACCTCTATTGAAGCTGTAAAAAAAGGTTATTTTTACAATTTTAGGTCAAATGCAATCTGACAGCTTCTCTTTTATTATGCTGCATTTCTCAGAGTTGCCTCAGCATTTACAACTGCTTTGCTTATCTGTGCCACTACAGTAGTTGTGTTATCTCTGGCAAACAGAAGAGTCTGGAACATCGACTTTTAGGACATTTTTGCTGTACCCCCTCCAAAAAGCAGAGTATTCCACTGTGCGGGCTTAAAGGAAAGAACAATCCCAAAGCTGTCCTTGGCTTATTCTCGTGACTTTTTTCTTATAGACACAAAACAATTACAGAAAACGAGACCTCAAGCTCCCAAAAATCTGATTTAAATAATGATTACCCTTCTAGGAACTGTGGCATTGAACATACTCTGTTGGGAGTTTCTGGTTCGCATTGCGCTGCTAGTCTAGGGCCTATTTATAAACATGTAAACAAAGTCTATGGCTTCCATTGATGGCCACACCTTTACTCAGTGCTGACCTCTCTTGCCATGAGTATGGCAGTGGGTTTCTTCGAGGAACATCCCTACAACGTAGCTGCCGTCTCTGTAACACTGAGACCAAGGCAGAGGAAGGACTGTCCTGAGGGTGAGGAGTTTGTACCAACCTTCAGCACTGTGACATAGGGCGTCCCATCGGGTCCGTATTTGCTGCCATTGACTTCCACATGTTTCAGCCACTGGATGTGAGGCTGGGCATCGCTGTAGACCTTGCAGTGAAACTCCACATTGCTCCCTACCACCACAGTCTGGTTGGCAGGGAGCCCTGCTTGTAGGATTGGTCGGTGGGGCGACCTTTCTGAAAAAAAGAAAAGAGAGGGAAATCCTAATTTACCCATCCTTCCTCCAGCAAGGATTCTCCTCTGAACCCTTCATCTCCTGGCTTTTCAGCAGAAAGGGTGCAGACTGGGATTGTCCCCCCTTAAGTGTCCTGGCCACCGCTCTACCCAGTGCTTCTCAAGGGAAGAACCACCTGGGAATGGAGGAGGCATCTCAGCCCTGCCATTCCTTCTGGCCCCTCTGTAGACCAGCCAAGTAATTTATTGATCGTGGATCTGAGGCTGAATTGTTGGCCAAAAGGAAGCTTGTTGTTGGTTTCAGAAGATGCATGATCCAGCCCTTTGGGAAAGAAACCAAGCTCCTGTTTCCCATATCCCATCACATGCCTGTTCAACGCCACCACAGATCAGCTGTTGAGGGAAAACACTGAAATCTCACCTAATACATCAAGCTGGTACGTGTGCCTAATATTGCCGTATTTGTTCCCCACAACACAGGTGTAATTTCCTCGGTCTGACGGCACAACACTCTCCATCACCAAGCTCCACTGCTGGTGTCGCAACTAGAAGAAGAAATCAAACCATCAAGCCCGTGGTCAAGTGCCATCATCACCAGACCATTCAAACCAGTGAACAATCAGTGAACTTCTACACACTTGGCCAGCATGAACAGACCCCAAGTAGGCCTGAACATCACAAGGACCCATTTCAAGGGTCATTAAAGGCTTAATGTGAAAGGGAATTAAGAGCAATGCATGAACAGTGCAACACAATGTAGCGCACTGAGATTGCTATGGGGACTTGTAGATGCTTCCACAGTGATAATGAAAGCAGCTGACAGCTGAATGTGGCACCTCTCATTAGAGTAGTGACTTCAGAAGGCATCAGTTAAGATAACTCCGCTCTGCTTGTCCCCTGTGCCAGACCACTCTGGTCCAGAGACTCTTGTCAGCTCAAAACATCATACTCGTCTGCAGACCTTTACCAACTGCTACGTATAACCCATGAGATGGCTAGAAACAATAAAGATCATACTTCTTCCCCTATCTATAACATATTTTAAAGATGTGTGCTACGGAGGCAACAGGCCATGGCATCTGTCTGAACAGAAATGGGTGTCTACAACTAAGTCAGTCCCCTAAATTCCCTGTAAAAAACAGGAGAAAACATGCCCAGCCTGAAGTCTGGTCCCTGGGATGCCTGGTCAGCCCTTCTCTTTTGGCACTAAGTTTTATACTAGTTGGTTTTCTGGATGTGGCTCATGTCCAGAGCTGTTGGTTGTTCAGTAGCAGAAGGGAAAGCACAACCCATGTCTCCACCCTGACCTGCTGCCCTGTGCTCCCAGCTAGAACGTTTGTTTCTAATGAGTATAAAGGAAATAACGGATACAGAAAGTAAACCTTGAATTAATACAGAAAGCAACCAACGCTAACAAAGATGACTTCAGGATGCATAGTGTATGAAAACTCTCCAAATCTCTGGATATTAATTTGATGCCTTCTGCTGCCCAGAGCAGAACATTTAACTTTATTAAACATTTTGAAGGTGACTCCAAGGACACAGAAGCAGATTACAATAACCCTGTGCTACAGAATGTCAAGGGCTGATGGAAAAAACAAGGGTGTAACTGCTCGTGGAGGTTTCTTGCTGCAGCAGGTGAACTCAAATATGAAGTCATTTAACCTCCTCTGCTACACATAAATTGCATCCATGTGCTTTCCTTTAAAGGGCCAAGTCGCAATTAAAGCCAGAATTTTGCAAAGAGAAGGTTTAAAGTCATAGGACTAGACAGCTTAGTTGCAAGATAAGCAAGCAAAAGCCATTTTAACAAAGCCCCTTGCTTTCTAGATCTCTGCGGCCCCCTGAACAGCACTGCTGAGCATCCCACTTTTCAGAGACTGCTGAATATAGCATTTCCTTTCATTTCAGGTTATAGGTAACAGGAGGCTGTGGCTAAACAGCCTGTACAGAAATCTCGGTTGTTGCAGATGTCTGGTCAGGTGTGATTGCACCCTCTGCCCACCCAGGACAGCACAGATGGGGCTCAATGCAGAACCAGCATTACATCTTTTGTAAAGTAACATCCCACTTGGTGCGTCTCTGTAACAGCGTGGCAATTACAGGGTAAGACATGCTCTGAGAGCAGAGCGCCTGGACCCTGAGTTCACAGCTGGACTGTCAAGGAAGTTTCAATGCAAATTTGTGGCTGCTTAGTGGCTCATTTCTATACTGGCTTGTCTCATAGTTGTGTCTAAAGACTTCATTTAATCCACTTTTCAGCACGGCAAAGCATTTGCCTCTGGAACCCCTAGGAGCTACTCCAAGGAAATGGGGCTCCAGATACATGGACGACTCCCTGGTCTGACCTTTATTATAAAATCAGGTCCAAATTAGGTGTTTTACTTAAGATGTACTTTCAAAGACACTTTTATGACACTTTCAAAGAAGTTCTCTTCGTCAGGTTTGTGATGAAGACTTTGGACTCTGAACAGAGAGGAGAACCTGGGGGTACAGACTCATGGGGCAGAACTTGTTTGGAAACTCTTCTAGAAGCAACAAGATTTTTTTTTTTAGGTTGAGACTGGTGTCTAGATTTAAAGCATAATAAAAAGGGATGTTCCCAAGTTAGGATAGTCACCATACTCGATAAAACACTAGAAACATGAAGTGACTTAGTGCAGGCATTAATCAAGTGGGTGAGATACTGGAAATCCCTCTGGTTTATTTGGTGTTGTCATTCTTGGCTCCTTGTGAAACAAACATTCGCAGACACACTTGGAACCTCAGTCGTGTTTGCCAGACTGGTATGCAAGTCAGTGCAATGGTCTGGGGAAGGGATAATCCTCTATCTCCCCTCCCCCTCCATCTTCCCTTCTAGGGTCATTTAACACACACAGGCTTACGATATTAGAGATTCCAACAAGGATTTAACCATTAATGCTCTTTGGGAAATTTCATATGATAAGTCATATGAATTTCTTTTCTTTACCAGTTAAGGATGAACTGTAACAAAACTAGGTTAGCCTGGACTTCATGTTTTCAACACTCGTCCTTCTCTCTTGCAGACTTAACACCGGGCAATCACACGGGATCTAAATGCCATTTGCAAGAGGCAGAAGTGGAAGACTGGTCAGCTTTCATCTGCTGACCACAGACCTTTCACAATCAACGTTTAAACTCTTCCACACGCTGAAAACAAATGAGAACATTCCCAGCTTAAGGATTTCTGGGTTAAGACCAGATCTCGAGATGAAGTAAGCCAACCAAACTCTGCCAGATCTGGATCTTGCCCATTCTTTTCAAGCTGCCTAATCCTGTTATGAAGCTAAGTTGTAACAGGGAATTTAAATCTTAAATACATGAGATACTGAGCAGGTTTTCAATCTCTTTTTCTGGTTCAAATCTCAGCTGATACCTATCAGTATATTTATACTGGATGAGTTTTACATTAGACTACTTACATCTAACTGCGGGGCTCAAGAGCAAAAGCAAGCAAATAAGAGCAGGAAAATTACAGAGAGAGAAAGATGTCTTTGTATCAAGAAAGGGACAAAGAACTACACCTAGACAGATAGAGAGCTTAAACCAATCTTGCTGTAATTGGCCTGACATTGCCTTCAATATCTCTTTAAGCATCGGCTTGTTGCTGGAAGGTGCCCCTAGAGAAACAAAGCACAGCGATGCCAAAGACTCACTACTGTGTTGCAGAGGATGAAACGTGTCAATTTAAACTCAAGGATAGATTAAAACCACTGGGAAGTGGGTAGGGGAATTGCTTTCAGCTTTAGATTTTATTCTGCAAGCATAATTTAGTGCAGCTGATGTCACATAGTTTCGTAAAAAGCCGCTCGAACGGCGCACGCAAGCCTGAAAACACTTCATGATGATCCTTACAGCCTGCAATTAGTAAAAGATGCTTGTGCTTTGTGAATGTTATCTGCCGAAAGGCTGTTTACCCACAGAAGTTGCTTCCCCATTTCTTCTCCCTCCTTAACTTTTCAGAAGATCCAAACCTGAGCGTGTCCTCAGCCTTGTCCAAGCTGGAGCAAGGACAGGGCTGAGGAGGGAGCTTCAAAGGCTTCACTGGAGCAATCACAAAAGGCTCTTTCAGGAACGGGTCTGAGCTAACAGGAAAGAAACAGCCCAAAACTGTGGGGAGGGAAGACTTTTTTGAATCCTTTTCTGGCTTCTGCAGCCCGGCACACTTTGCATGCCTAGCCCCCCCTTTCAAAATGCTACAGACGCGGTAGGCATCAGCACACAGCTATTCAGAGTACTGCTGAAGGTGCCTTCCTAAAAATCACCTTCTCTCCTCAGCAGTAGCCCAGGGATACACCAGGGCTGGCAGACTGCAGACAAAAATCGCTGCTCAGGAGTCCTTCCTGCTATGCTGATTTTGTTATCATCAGCTGCTGCCAGTTTTATTCTCCCCAAATAAAAGAAGAAAGGAGTCTGACCGCGACCTCAGGGGGACAAAGTAATAACAACAACAACAACAAAATCAGAGAAGAGCTGATTTTCCTGTTAACATCCTGCCATAATTCGTCATATACAGTAGCACTGAAACTTCCGGCTAATTAAATCATTTGAGTGCAGTGGGGTTTTGTGTCCCTTAGCTCTATCTATAAACACAAGCCAGAGCATTTTCCAGAACACCTTAGGTAGAAAGGAAGGAGGGAGAAGAAAGCAGCCAAGGAGCAGTTGCTATTACTCTGGCTACAAGGGAATCCAACACTTGACCGAGGGTCAGTGATTTATACCACAAGAATGTTAATGACCACCAGCACAACGGTCCAGCTCTTTGGTGAGGTCCTTCCTACACCTTCAAAGGATGCAGAGTCGGTTTTCCTTGAAAGCTGGGAGTAGCTACGGCTCAGTCTAACACTGTCTCAAGGCACTGGGCTGTTCTCCAGAAATTAGGACAGAAGTTTCTGCTCCTGCTTTCTCATCACTGTCCACAACGCAGCCATAAACCCAGCCTCATTTTTACCTAGTCCCTGAATGACCACTATAGACAAACTCAGAGGCAGTTAGCCCTCAATCCCAAGGGACAGCAGCCCTTTTTAACACTTCAGTGTTGAGCCATTGCTAAGGCTGCCAGAGACACTCCCATTCCCACACAGTCGGGACCGTGCTCTTACACGTACCAATGTTAATCACTGTGAAATACAATTTTCTACAGTCGGTAGAAAACTCCTGATAAAAACAGAGATCCAAACCAAGGTCTTACCTTGATGCCCCCAATTCTATGCTCTCCCTTGAACTCCTTGCCATTTTTCAGCCAGTAGATGGAAGGAGTTGGGTTTCCACCCGCCGGACATCGGAAGCGAACGGTGTTGGCGGCGGGAACTGCCAGCAGCTTCTTCTCCATCTTATCTGGCCGGGTCCAGAAGGGGACACCTGAGAAAGGAAAGACCAAGTTTAACAGGCCCATTTCTGCCACGGAGGATATCAGCTGGTGAGCAGATGTATTTGAGAAGGCTTTGGCATGTGCAGAGTGACAGTTAAATTGCTACCTGCTGCAGTTAAGATAAATGACACAGAAATGCTTTCCAGCTAAATGACTCTCATAGACATAGACAGGGTGTTTGCATTTTAGGTTTGTGATGAAAGGTTCATGACCAGGTTCTTGTCTCGGTAATGCCAGTATAAATCTAGAGTAGCTGCTTTTAAATCAACAGGGAGAGTTATCCGAGATCAGGATGAGAATCTGGCCTCAGCGTGTAAAAAGATACAGATGTACCTTTGGGACAATAGTAGCCAAGAAGCATGAACAGCAGAAAGATGTTGGAACTGTAAAAAATGTTGATGGACCAGCAAGGGAGCAGAGAAAAAGTGTTAGCTGAGTGCACTGGAAAATTTTGCCTCTCAGTGAGCACAATGTAGTGTAGCCTCCTTAAGGGAAGGAAAGAAAAAAAAAAGCCAGTGCCAAACTGGTTTATCATGTTTATGTTCTTTAAGTACAAGTGATTTTAGTTTTAAAGATTCATGTTACCTTTGAACAGGGATAAGTTTTAAAACACCAGTGTTAGCATGAGATACTTTTTATAATCTGCCTCAAGTACAGCAATGTTTCTTGGCTGTGTTACAAACATTACATATTAACTCCAAATTAAGGCAGCAGCAGCAGCAGCAAACTCATTATACTGGGAAGAAAGAAAGAGAAAGTTTTTAAAAAAAGCCTCCCAAGCTTTCATTTCTGCTTAAGGAAAAGCTGCAGAGCTGCATGTGGGGTGTTTCCCGTGCCACGCCACGGGCCACATCCAGCCCCCCAGCTCTGTGCTCCACACCGAAGCCAAAGAGAGATGGGGGCAGACAGCGTTTGGGCTGCAAAATAGCAAAAAGGAGGCCAAGGAGTGTAACTGGCATCTCCTCCAGATGGGAAGGAAGCACCCACAGAGTACCCAAACCCACCGGTTGCAGAGACCTGTGTGCTTCTGGCCAAGACAAACTGAAGGTGCTGGTCCTTCAAGAACTGCCTTGGAGAACATGATGGCCACCAAAGCTGTCAGGAAAGCATCGCTGCTGGCCTCTCCTGCAGAGGTGACGATGCTCAGAAACACCACCCAGCATCACAGCCCCACCTCAGTGCTACTCTGAAGCCTCTGCAATCCCCTTCCCCTTAATGACAAGGGTGGACAAAGTTTTCCCTCTTGTTGCACCCCTCTGAGATGCACCAGAGCTGCTCTCTTTCTCCAGCGCTCCCCGATGTAGTTAGCCCCAATGTGTTTGGCTCCACGAGACCCATCCCGTTGCAATTCCAGGTAAGTCAGTGATGACCCCACCTTGGTCTAAGTCCTCACTGTCCCCCATGCAGGCTCCCTGCTGCATTTCAGCTCCAAGGACCATGCAGGCAAGGTCATCCAGCTCAGCCAAGGCAATCCATGCACCCACCGACTTTTAGCACCTGCTAACACTCTCCACACGGTCCCCTCTCCCCATGGCTCCTTGCGAAGCCTACCTGGCCGTGAGGAACTGGATGTCAGGAGCTACATCCAGGAGGCCCTCCATTTGCTGGAGACAGCCCTGCTGGATGCATCGCTCTCATGTCTCATCTGCTTTCACACCTCCACAGCTGGATGGCTGGACACAGGTGCCTCAGTAATGCTGTCCCAGGGTTGAAATCCAGTATTGCGGGCTTGCATCTGCCCTCAGACTGCCTTGCACAACACGCCGTGATGCCTATCAGAGTCAGCTCCATGTATCAGAGGGATCTGGTGCTCACCCATGCCGCGTACGCCTCATTTTTTAAACAACGAAACTGCTTAAGGCCCTTTTCTTGCCAGGATGGCACCGGAGCAGGAGTACGGCTGGCACAAACAAAAGCAAAGGGAGGAATCCCTGCAATTCCCATGCTTCCTGCAAAATCCTGGCTACAGCAAACTTCGCTGTAAACACACAGCACATCCAGGAGAGGCCTCAGATGCTACACAATAACGCGGGCTAAAGTGGGCCACCATGTAACCATCTACCTTCCAAATATCTAAGCTTAGAAAAATGGTAAAGAACTGCGCAAAAAAGGGGGGAATATTCAAAAAAACATTAGCAGAGTGGGTGCAATCCCTAAAGGAAGAGCAGATCTTGACGGTAAAGGAAGATGCTGCTATTGCATGCACTGGGAAGGGCAGAAACCAAGCAAAGGCTGGGCAAAAGCCCAGGCAGCAGCAGGGGGCTGAATTTGGATGAGGACAGTTGGGGTGGTGTTGGAAAGGCTGAAGAAGAGGGAGCTGCAGAAACCATGTTGGGAGAGATCTGGCCCTCAGTGGTGGTTTCTGAAGCACGGGCTATGTTCTGGCCGAATGCTTCCTTCTGGCAATGCACCCTGATTTCCCAGGGACTTTACAGGAGGTTAACGGGGCTATGGAGGAGAGTTCAGGGAAAGGCCAGGCACGGACAGAAAAGTCCCCCTTCGCCACAGCTAAGAAGGGCAGCCGAATAACCTGCTGTTTGCTGTTTGATTAACGTATCTGCCTACAATAAATCCCATTTTATGGAGTCAGTGACACTCACCTGGGCATGGGGGTGTAACTAGACCGCACAGCTGCCCCGCCGGGACCGGCCTTCTCCTTGAGCTGTGCTTTTGGGGTTTTTTCCTCTTTCCACACCGGCTGCGTGTGCTGCAGGGTGATGTTTCACCACATTTTCTCACTCAAAAGATGAGCTTGAATCTCACAGGAGACCCATCAACCCACTGGCTGCAAATTTTGCCACTGAAGCCAAGGGGGATTTTGCCATTGGACATCAGAGGGGAGCAAGACAGGGCCCAGGAAAGTTTCCAACTGGGGATATTCTCCATATGGAGCAAAGGCAGGATCCGCTCCTCCCTCCTGAATTTAGACACGGCTTCTTCCCCAAGCACCTCCCCTCCATTCGGGTGCTCTTCCTTGCGATTCGGGGCTCACCAGGGCTGGGTACCCCTGGACTAATGTGCCAAGCTTCAAACAACCAGGGCATTGCTCTCCGGTCAAACTGGAACTGGAAGAAAGTGTCTACGCATTGAAAACGGTGCCTTTGTTCTCACTCGCAGAGGCAGCGAACAAAACATCACTGCTTTCGGTTTGCTGTGCCCCCAGAGTCTTTTCAGTACTGCTTTTTAAGGGGGTGAAAATGTTGCTAGCTCTTCAAGCAAAGCTTGCAAAGCTCCAGAGAGTTTCAGGAGTGAGGAAGGAGGAAGGATGGAAGACAGGAAAAATTTCTAGACCTGCTCCCTCTAAATTAATTACGAGCAATGATTTTGCATGTGCAGGTGTGAAAAAAATGGGACCCGCAAACATTATCACTGGCCCTTTCCCATCATCAAACACTAAGCCCAACGGTCCGTTTTGTTCGTCAAAGACATCGGCCACCCATCCGACTGGAATGACCAATTAAAAAAACCCGAGAGCGATACTTGGAATAATTAATACAGCCGAGCGCTCACTTAGCAATTAGGAGCTGCCACAAAATTCTGCGGCAGACAGAATCAACCCTAATTGTGTAATTTCCCCAGCTGACGCCTCCAAGTACACAGCCAGATTTAATTGGAGATTATAGGGGCTCTTTGAAGGTGCTGGGGCTGCGCAGCGGGGGCTCCAAACAAACAGATACAGAGGGGTAGGGAGCACTGGGGCAGAAGAGCAGTGTGTGAAAAGGGAGTTTTGTTTTTGTTTCAGGGCCAGGAAAAACAGCTGTAGAGAACAGAGGTATTGGAAAGCCTCTTTTTGCAAAGGCGGATCGCGGTTTGTGACAAGGCTGCAACAAACAGGCCGATGATTTGAAGCTGCTGAAGTTCCTCTTTCTTCTTTTCTGCTGCCCATCCCTAAGGGATGCCCAGTTCTGGACTGCCCTTCGGAGAGGATGCTTAACGGAGGGTGAGCAGAGCAGGGCACTCCATGTGGAGGGCCTGTCTCCATGCTCTCCAAGGGTTTTTGCACCAAATATTAATTTCTTTTAAAACAGATTTCCTCTCGTTCTCTTGCTTTGGTATTTCCAGCTCCCATCGTTCAACAATTTTGGGTGAAAACCCCAAAATTAACAAAATTGGCTTCAAACTCATAATGCTATTAGAATCAGCTCTCCAAGCACTTCTCTATAAATATGAGGATAAGAAACTCTCTTGAACAACACAAGTAAGCCAGAAAATTAACTTGTCATTGCAAGGGACCAGGAGACAAGGTTTTTATTCAGTGACATGCAATATGGCAACATGCAATGAGCCAGTCCTGGACGGATTACCTCCCACTAAATATGAATAACTATCGGTTATATTTTTCTTTTGTGTGAAAGCGTGTTTATTGCCTTCATTCCTCTAACTACTGACCATGGCTATGTCTGATGGCCAAGCAGGGGCTCATACACCTCATTAGTTGGGTATCTTTTTGCCACAAGAGACACAGGTCTTCGGACTGTCCATAGGACACGGCACTGGCTGCACCCATGTGTCTGCCTGCCCAGGACTGTCCTGCAGCCCCTGTCCCCGGTGGGATGTCCCACCATCCCAGTGGTGCCAGGGTTAACAACAAGGCTCCCTAGACTCAAGAGAAGATCTGTGAAGGTTAAGTGGAGGGTCTGACATCAAACAAAGCAACATAAAGCACATCCACATCATGACACGCCATGAGGTTTCACCGTGCCGGCACGTTAAGCTAATCAACCGTTTATAAAGCAGAAGAGAATCCAACTTTTTATAATGAGACCTTTAAGCAAAGCCAGTTGTTACCTTCGGGTCTAAAAAAAGATACAGCCTTGAAGTCAAGAAGACCCAGAATACAGGCTATAAATACAAGCGGCAAAATGTGTGTTTTCCTTTTCAGTGAAGAAAAACATGTCTTTCTGTACCATAAACCAGCTGATGTTTTGTGATACCTGTTGCTAAGAGATGGGAGTTTACTACAAACCACATTAAAAAAAGTACAGAACGATTAATTGTGCTCATCAGAAGCTGCTCCGCAGCAGGAACAAATCGGGACCAAACCTGACCCTCCCTATGCCTCTACCAGGCTTCAGCAGGCATTAGGAGCCCTGAGCACCTCTGCAAAGGTGCTTTGTCACCTCGCAGGATCCGGCCCTTAATTAGAAGCTATCAGAAAACCACTAACTGCTGCCGACGGGTCACCTGGCACCGTAACTCACCATTACTGTCCACATACTGCACGATACAGTGATATGAATTTATTACAGTGGGAGACCTGTTTTAAAGAGTCCTGCATGTCCAGCGCTATGGACAGGAGAAATTTTCCAGTCATGTTGAACTTCTGCCAATGTACATAGCTGATTGGGAGTTCAAATGCAAGACGTTTATTTATTAAAAAGACATACACATAGGCAGTTCACTTTGCAGAAATAAAAAAAGAGCATAATAAAACACAACACTAACGCCTCTGAAGCATGTAATGATACTGATTAATGCTATTGCACTTAAAGAAACAAGCACTGGGACTGAAAGTGATTCAGAGTAAAAGCACCAAAAGGCTCCGTCCTGGGGCTCCTTTCCCCATGTGAGTGAAAGAAAAAGCCAGTAAAGCCAAATGGGTTGCTCCCGCTTATGGCATCAGTAAACTTGGCCCTTGGCTAGCGTAAATTTTATGCTCTGACTCCAGCCAAGATGCTGGTAAGGACCAGAATCAAAACAGCTGAAAATAAAGCAGGCCAAGGTTTGCAATGGTGTAAAACTGGTGTATCGTCACTGTAGTAAAAAAAAAAACAAACTGGTAAGTGGGTTTGTCTGGATTAACATGCAAGGAGAATTTATAAGTCTAGCTCGTCAAGTCAGATTCACAAAATCATGCCTCCAAAAAAAGAAAATTACGCTACTGCTGCTGTAGGATATTATAGCAGTGATACCACTCTGGCAGCTATTTCTAAATTTTTAGATAAACATCATCATGGTACCATCCTAAGGTCACCAATTTCAACACAGAGAAAGAGCTGCTGTCCGACCAGGTGAACATCCGCATGAGCTGCTCCACTTAGGAGCCACATCTCTTTGAAAGAAAAGGCCTCTGTATCCCAGAAAAACAAATTACCTGTATCTTCTGACTCATCATCGTCATCTTCATCATCACCTGACGAAGGGGAATCTAGGAGGAGAAGGAGAAAGAAGTGAAGCAGAAAGAGGATGGCATGCGGGGACACCATGTTGGACAAGGCTGTTGGTGCCACAGTGGGCTCCAGCGAGGGAGGATATCCAAGTGATGGGTCACCCTTCCTTGCAGCTCCACCAGCCTGTCCCTCCCACACTGCTGGGCCAGGGACAACTGGCCAGGAGCTTTCTGAACTGGGAGAGAGGTATCATGAGGTTGCCAGTGCTCTGCTACCAGAGACCGGGGTCCAATGCCAAATACTTCTCCCTGTGTGAAGTGCTCTTCTCCTCATAAATATAAAAGCAATTCCAAAAGGAGAAGTTTCTTTTTGCAGAACAAGCTCTCCCCCGCTTTTTTTTTCCTCTAGCATTCACTCTGAAGACTTTTTACTTCACCAAGTCTCAAAATGACAGGTCAGCATTTCTAATTCACTTTCTCTGCATTTTTGTTTTAACTCAATACACCCCTGCCACATCTCCCCTCATTAACTCCTTGCTCAACCACTCAGACCAAAGCTTTTAAAACTTCCCCTTGCAATCAAACCTCTCTCTCAATCGACATTTTGATGGCTACTCCGTGAACCAGTTCCTTTCGGTTATATTCCTGCTACAGAGGCACCTCAAGGCTGTAACTGAACACAGGTTAACAGGTGGGAATTTTCCACCTGTATCTCTCCAAAACATCCTGAACTGTTTCTCTTAATGTGGTCTAACATCTCACCTTCTCTAAGCTGTCCACAATGAAGTCTCAGTCCCTCTTCCCCCCACCAAACGACTACTGTAAATGTAAATCCCATTATAAAATAGCAGCTTAGTGTTTGATTTAGTTTACATGATTTAGTACAATTCAGTGTCTGGAAGATTTATCATCACTGACTTCATATAATCTCCAGGAATTTCTTTTTTAAATAAAGGCAAAACGCTAACAACCCAGCAGCCTTTATATTCTGAGACAGCGGTAAAAGAACTTGGCCTTAAACACTAGAAAATAGGAAACTTTATGAGTGTTCAACATGTGGCCAGAAACGTAAAGCACTACTTTAGACCAAGCCAGGCAGAACCTCCTTCATTTCAAGATGCACTCGAGTTTTCTGCCGTTCTCTGACCAGCTCAGTGGAGGTAAAATGGGGGGTTTGTGCTGTGCAGTCAATCGAGATTCAACTAAGTACGTACTTTTGTCTGGGGGGGGGGGGGGGGGGGGGGAAGGAAAGAAAAAAAAAAAAAAAAGAAAAAAAGAGGAAAGAAAAAGAAAGCAAAAAGAAAAGGTAGGGGGAAGGTAACAACAAATACTACTTCTCTGCAGAATCTGGAAGGACTTTCCAGACATATTCACCATCTACAGGAGCAAGTAACACAGGAGTCATCTCCCTACTCTAGACTGCAGTGGCGCATCGTGCTTTGCACCTTCTCTTTGCCACAGTCTCAAGGAAGACTTCAAGCACGTATCTAATTGCAAATCCACAGCTGAGGTCCTGCTGGCAGCAGAGCTAGGGAAATGCCACAGGGCTTGCTGAAAGTGAAGTGGATGTTTAGGTGTTTTGGCTGAACCAGCAGGTTTACTCAAGTCCCGGTGAAGGCAGAAACTGCACCAAATCCCACCAGCATCGACAGAGAAACCAGCACGTTCTCAGCCCTGCACTCTCAGATTTGGTTACCCATATATTAACATGTGATTATAGTTTACTTCTGGTTTCCAATGAACCAGTCGTGACCAGAGGAGCAGAATCAATTTTTAAACCAATTCAAAAACATTTCCACAAGATTGAGGGAAGAGTCTTTGACCTTGCATGCGTCTCAGATGAGAGATGCAGCTTAGGTTTTAAGACCAAATATCCCCTGTTCAGAGCTACTGTCCTATTCAGGTTACTAAAACATCACCTTTTTCAAAAGGTGACTAAAAATTCTTAAGCTATTTGTTAATCATTTACTAAAATAGTAATCCTTTTCAGAAGTTGAGGAGTATTGGCATCAGCAAGAACTGCCAGATGCCATTCTCAAAAAGGCTTTAATTATGAATGGAAAGGGGCTTGTTTTTTTTAGTCACCTGTTTTGAAAAGCTTAGTCTTGGGTATTTTGAAAGCTCTTGTCACTGGTACCAGCCTGCAGTCTGTGCTCATCACAGGGGTGCTGCTTGGCCACTAAATCTGAAGGCTGTTCTGCGCGGGAAATGGTTGCAGAAATGGAGCTTCTGCCAACAGGGCCAGAGATCAGTTTGGGCATGCAGCCTCTATTTGTGATCCTCTTCAAGTGCTCAGGTTTTAGGAGGGTTCTTTCTGTAAACTAGCAAAACACTCAAGCCCATGTCTGTCAAGGGAGGCATTTTAAAGAGATCAAACCCTGATATTAATCAACCTGGTTTTCAACCTTGAAATGCCAGCTCCAGCATCTCCTTGCTCTACCTTCAGCATCAAGCATCTCCCTGTGCACACCGAGAGTCGCTGCAGAAGAGCCGATTTGTTGCAGACTCAAACTCAAACTCACTCCCCACGTAGGAAAATCCTGATACGCTCCTAGAATCTGGAAGCATCTCTCAAAATGGGACTTATGTGTTTATCACCTATTCTGAATATACCTAACCTAGTTTTGCTCACTTAAGAATACAGAACAGAGCAATTCGAGTTTGTTAGTACAGATTTAAACCAGTTTAATGCAGAGAACAACTCCACCCCGAACATTAGATATCCACATAAACACCCGACCAGATACCCGAGCTAATCGCTGGCATTACGTTTAAGAAGTGGGAACACAAACCACAAATCTCTGATAACAATCTCATCTCCACAGTGCCACACTGAGCAATCAATACTAATTATGAAGAAATATCTGAGCATACGAAAGGCGCCACTATTGCCACATAAAGCAGGGCTTCAAAGTTTAAAACAAGGGCTGCTGACAGCTAAAACTGAGACTCCCACATTATCAGCACTTTGGTGGTAATGACAGTGGGCTAATAGAATCAAAGACTCATAATGCTGTCAGAAAGCAGGTTCAGGTTACTTGCTTGTTCTTAAGCTGTTATTAGCTATTATTAGCGAAGAGGAAAAACACAGGGGCTTAAACTTTTTAAAAGCAGAGGATTATCAGCCCTTCCACTATTAAAAACAATTTCTCACTTTACGAACTTTTGGGGCTGGCAGCTGTTTCATTTGAGCATGTAACCAGCTGCCCTCTTCTGCCTCCCTGCTGCCCCTTGAACTCAAAAGCATTTTAATGTCACTTAAAAAAAGAGAGAGTAACGTTTCTAACAACCTGCAGTTCCTTGGATAGTTCCAATAATCGTACCTAGTTAAAGAAAGCTTTTCAAGGGCCAAATACTTCTTTAACCATTTAATTGATATGACCTTGAAGCATTCACCGCAATCTCCAGTAACATTCAATGAAAAGCAGATGTTGATGAAGGCTTGCTAAAACGAGCTTTTATTCTCATGATGGTTTGATTCTCTCACACAAAATCCTATTTCTGGCACGAGAAAGCCCTTTATGGAGTGGATGTGATTTACAATCACAAACATCTCTGTGTTTGGTTTTCAGACAGAGCCCCTTACTTTTTGAGGGAACCCAACTTTTGGAGGCAAGGACCTACAGTTTGGGGATGCTTGAAAAAGCTCCAACAGCGCAAGGGCAAAGGAAAGTTTTCAAAACCTTAGATCCACAAGGGGTTAATTCTTCTGAAAATTCAGGCTTTTAATCTGTGTGATCAGGAGACTTTCTACCTGCTCACAGTGATGAGTATCCATCTACCAATGCAGCACCCTGAAATCATGGAGATCTTAGTGTTAGCGGTTAGCTATCTGGGAACAACAGACTTTTCTGGCACTCTGTTTAGTGATCCAGGCTGGGACAGCTTGTAGCTGTTCTGTCCTACTGTCCTAATCACGGAAAAAAAGGCCAAGCAAATGGCAGCAGCACTTGTTTGCAATATATGAATCCCAATAAGTACCTTTGATGAAGCACATATTTGAGAGATACGCAGTTTACAGATAAGCTACTTCTGAAACAAACTAGTGATTTGTGATAACTGGGATGGAGGGAAGAGATTTATCAGCTACAATAGGGAAACGGTTTTCAGGAACCCCCAGCTTTTGCATGCAATTTTGCCAGTGATTTGTCACATAAAGTGGAAAAAGTCACTTAACCTCCCTGAGCCACAGTTCACTCACTCACAAAAGACTTCAAAGGCACATGTAGCATTGCATCTATTTGAGTGTTAAGGGGGATTTGGGGTTTAATCTGACTAGCACTGTTTCTAAGTCTCTCTCAGTATTAACATCAAGCTTTAACATTTGGTATGGACATGCAAGCATTCTTCAACTGGTTTGTTTTGTCAGTCTAATCACTGCCAGGAGTTACCAGGGAGGCAGAGACCTACCAAGTACGGACGAACACCACAAAGCACGAGCTGCGCTGAACATGTGAAGGGGCAAAAATAAAAACAAACCGACAAACAGACCAAAAATCACCGAGACAGCTGTATTTCTGCATGTACCTGTAACTCTGACTGTAAAGTTTCCCAGGACCTCGTTGGAATGCCTTGGCTTGCAACTGTACAGCCCCGAGTCATCATATGACACATTGATTATCTTCAACAGTTTTTGTCCAATATGAGTTCTGTTAGTAGGTGCAATCCCGATACCATCTTTAAACCAGAAAACAGACACAGAAGAGCCTTGGGTGTTACAGGAAAGTTCAATGGTATCTCCACTTCCAAACACCAACTCTTCCAGAAAGGCGGTCTCGCTCCTCAAGAATTCTGCAAAGGGAGAAAGAAATGGAAATGAGTAAATAAGAGCAGGTGTCAAGAGAACGAAAAAGCATTTAAAAAAGAAACCTATCTTATATTTGCCCTACTGATGCTTCCATGTGCCCGGAGCTCCTCTTTGCCAGAGGTAAGCCTTGCCTGCCCCAGGCAGATAGTAATGCAGAAAGACAGCTGTGCACAGTACAGTCAGGTCTCTGGCTGATCTACAAGTATGGCTTCAACCCTGTAGTGACCAAAACACAGCCACCCCACCAGGTGCATCACAACAAACAGCACAGACCTCTGTGTAGGGTCACTGCAACACCCAATGTTGCGTGGGGGGTGATCTGGCTGAAATAAGTGTATGCTGAAAAGTTCACAGGTCAGTCTCTCGATCTCAATTTCTTTATCCCTGTGAGTCTGTCCACAACCCCTGCGAGACCTAGCAAGGAGGGGATACAAGGAGCAGAATGGGGATAAACCCAATTTCTCAAGTGACTCTGGGTAGCCCAAAGGCAACCTCTGTGGGCTGAAGGAAACGAGGGGGAAGGCTGGACAGAAGACGCAGGCTGGAATAGCTAAAATACATGAACCCACCACTAGCTCCCTGCTGGAGTTACTCTCTGTGCAACACAGAAGTGCAGAACCAAAGACTGAGCACGAAAGCTGAAATCTGTCTACCAGCGGCGGCGGTTTGTTCCACGAGTGATGACAGTGAACCCTGCCACTGGCTGGAGAATTTTGTTTTACCATAGGATAATGACACAAGGAAAGGTTCAAGCTCAGAAGTCTCCCCACGGAGGAATGGGGAGCATGTTGAAAGTGTTGTTCTTGGGTCTGATGGTCCTCAGGCTCATTTTAGTGACATATAAATGCACTCTTGACATTGAATGGTTTATTCATCCTTTACACCAGTTTAACAAAAAAGAATTAGCCCTCTACAGCTGCCCTCAACCCAGCTAGATCAACAGCAAGACTGCCATCCTCCTCACCTTGTCTATGCTAACCAACAGTTTCATTTGGCATTGCCCTATCTCTATCTTCTGGCTTACCCCGGCTCTGAGACTGTACGCTCCATCAGGCATAAGAGTCTCCTTGGTTTTGTACAATATGCATCACGGGGGATCCTATTCCACGACAAAGACACTTTGGTGCTATGATTACATAATTAGCAAGTAAAAAGTAATTCAAAACAGATCGGTCGGAACCTAATGCTATGATCCAAACCCAGGTGGCCTGAGTTGATCTCCGATAGTAGTCAGATATGGATAGAGATCCTAATTTTGCATCTTAAGCATATTCATAGATTACAATTTGGCTGTGAAACCAATGCAATTACAGCAGCTCTGAATACCTGTGGATGTGGCATTGGCTTCAAGCTGCTCTTTTGCCATTAAGTGAAAGAGTTGGAGCAGGTTATAAGTGAAAAATGTATTGCTTTTCTCTTCTTGTCATGCGAGTTTTTATTTCTGTGGAAATGTAAAAATAAAAAATATAAAAATGTTTCAGTCAATAGCCTTGCAGGGTAGAAATAAAGAATCCTGGGGGCCTGAAATGTGGTATTTCATGGGAGGTATCATCTCGCAGGAGGCAAAGCCCACACTCATTGGGGTTATAAAGAACCTTTCCTGTGATACCCTGGCAGCAATTCCAACTCAAATATTTTAGGTTTTGGCCAGAATTTTGTGGTATTCATACAGTTAAAGGTTTAGGGTGTTGGTTTTTTTCTTTTAATGAAAAGATTTTCCCTGAAAGCATATAGTTTCAGTAAAAAGAAAAAGAAGACAGAGCTCCAGCATCTCCTTCCTATCAGGCCAGCACCTGTTGCGACACTGAGTGTTCACCCATGGTCTCTTCCCACCTGGATATATCCTTGGGGAAAATATGGTTGAGAAATATTCTGGTTTAACTGTTCCTTTCAGGTTTTTTTCTTCCTTCTTCTAGACTATAAGGATTTTTTCAATGGTACCAACTTTGGCTTCCAATTAAAAAGCCCTGTATACAGCTTTGCACTTGCAGGACTGGGTACTGATCTTTGTTTGTTGACTCTGATGGAAGCTCTTGCTAATTTAATCTGCTGGAAAACACACCCCATGCAGCTGCACAATCCCTCCATACAAAATACACAGTTTTACCCGAGCTGTTTGCCAAATGATCAAGACTTGTATATTTTGGCTTTTCTACCATAAACCTACCAAACAGGAACAAGCCCAGACTAAGCACAAGCCAAACTGTACCGTTCAGCCATTTAAAAGGAAATCACTCTTTTTTGAAAGCCATAATGCACCTGGGTAAATGACAAAGCGACAAACTATTTTTATAAAACATAATTAGGGAATGCTGAAATGAAGAGGAAATTCACTTTAGACTCAGAGCAGAATGATCAAGGGTCTGAAGCTTCTGTGGAAAGAAGCATCATGTCTTGTTTCTGACAACTTTATTTTGGCATCTCTGCCCTCAATCTCCCCAGCCGGTCTCCAGCAGATACTGTGATGCCTGTTAAATGCAAAGGTCAGTCCTAGTGACTTTACTCCTACTGACTGCGAGTAATATCTGGAAAGATAGAATGGTGAATTAAAAGGGAAATGTTACAGATGGTTTTAATCTCACTTCTTTAAACAGTTTTTCAAATTTCAGTTTATATGCTTACGGCTTAAAAAATAAACAGGACCCAAATTGGAGACCTCCACAAAGCACTTAAATGTGCACTTAAGTGCCTAAGCACTTTGCCCAACTGTGACCTTGGAGAACAAAATTTTACTCTTATTATTCCTCACCTAGCTTTCAAATACGATGATAAATCCGAAAGTGGAGACAGTCTCATTTCCAAGCTGAGAACAGCTGGAGTTTAAAGCGGGGAACTAGAGGTCACATCTCCCACTGGGTGCCTAGAGCCCAGCACCCCCTTCCTGCCTTCCAGCTGCAAGTGCCCGGTGTTTCCAACACCTTCTCAACAAGAGACACCAAGACAAGAAGGAGACATGAAGTTGCCCCCTCTGAGGCCAAGCATCCAGCCATCAGACTGACTTGCAGAAGTCTACATCTCCAGTCACATGGCGTGAACAAAGTGGCAGAAGCTGCGTGTGCAACCTGTGCTTGGGAGGGGTTTAACACAGATGGGCTGAGCCCTCCCTGGGGACCTGGGCGAGGGTTTGGACATCTTCTTCATCCTATGTCTCCCATTGAGAGATCATAAAGGATGATCTTCTTTCAAATCAGAAGGAAACCAGTACAGCGGAGCAAGCGCCGAGCCCTCCCGACATGGTTGTGTCTTTCATCTGGATGCACACCTTTGAGGCAGTCAGAAATCTTCCCAGTGGAAAGCAGCACTGCGGGGAGGCAGCTTTCAGATTTACGAGAGCTACAAACGCACATCTCCTGGACCTCAGCCCTGGGTCCTATGAAAACCATCCTCGCTGCTGGCAAACAGCTATCCCCACGTGTCCTTTAAAACCTTCCTAAAGCATTTCTATTGCAAGTCAGGTTGCAAAGGTCCCTCCCAGCTCTCCCAAAGGAAACTCCCATTTGGGATCTAACTGATATTAACAGCATCTTTTCAAAATCCACAGTAGACATAGGTATAAATTACTGGGGAGTTAACTTGTGTATGGGTTACAGGAACCCGCTCTACCGCTTGCCAGCAGAGCAGGTATTAATGAGTTTGCAGCTTTAATGGGTTCTTAGAGAGGAGAAGGCAATCTAGGTTGTGGGCTCCCAAGATACGACTAAAATTCAACCATTTATTGGTTTAGCCAAAGCAGTAATGAATCGAGAATCACCAAGAGATGCTTCTGATGGAGATCAGCACTTGCAGCACCGTCACTGCTGCTCATAGCAAACATGCTACAGAGAAGGAGGCAATTTTTAAGCTGTTCAAAGGAGCAAAAAGGCAGCAACTAGCCAGGAAGCACCTTCCACAATGAGGAGCAGCTGGTCCAGCAATGCTAAAATGCTTTTGTACGTATTCACTTAAAAGGATAAGATACTTCATCTCCATAGCTGCCTATCATCCCAGCTATAATTCACTTTCTCTGTGGTTCGCAGCTCCAAGTGCTTAAGTGTGTCAGTATTTCCATCATATGTCTGCTCCTCTTAGACATAAATACTTGTTTCTGACTGAGCCTGGAAATGTTTTGTTTTGGTTTTAACGCAGGCAGCTCTCAAAAACTGCAGGAGAATATACAGTGATTTATTTTTCAGGCACAAAAGGACGAGGAGGTGGAGGGTGGTTGGGTATTCCTGGGCTGCTTACACCCCCCCCAAAAACTTCAAGCCAACTAGAGCCTGGTTGGTGCCCTCCCCGGTGTCAGTGACTATTTCCAGGTGCTGTGGCAGAAAGCATGGGGGCTGCTCCTGGGCGGCAAAGGCCCACAGTGCCCACGGGAAGCTCGGTGGGGTGGGAGAGCCCCAGGGCCCCACACCACCTCGCAGGGTGCTGGGTCCTGGCTCCAGGACACTCCATCTGTTTTTTTCTCTTCACCTGTGTTTTTCCTCCTAGAATAGCTTCCCACAATTCTGCTTTTCCAAACACCAAAGTGTTTGGGAGCCTCCCGAGGGACTGCTCAGGTGGGGTGCACACCTCCCCCTTCATCATCATCCTCCTCCAGGGAGCATCCTGCAGCTGGGGCACATCCACCATGCAACTGAAACCCCACCAGGACTCCCACCACAGAGGGCTCGAGGCACACGACATTCAGTACCACCAGCAAAATATTCCTCACCCCACCTTGAACCCTGGCAATCCCAGAGAGGCTTTTCAGGATTGCTTCACAGCCCGGTGGTGGGATGGACTATCGTTTCTAAGTGGATCATATTTTCCCCCTTTCAAGCTGGACAAGCTGTATTTGGCATGTTAACAAGCAGAAAGATAGCAGTACTCCATGCATTTCTCTCCTCAGGTTAATTCAAGAACGTTTCTTGTTCTATGTATTTTATTGCACCAAATCCACCGTGACGGGATATATTATAGGATCATGGAGCAACAAGCGTGCCAGAGCTTTCTCCTGTTGAGTTTGGTATCCCGTTCCCAGGGGGATGATGGTCACAGCCACCGAGTCAGTGGCTAACTGCTGTAGGGATATGGAAACCTCCCGTGGCGCCAGCATCGGTGGGATGAACAAGGCCATGATGGCAAAGAGCACATAGAACATCTCCAGGCTCAGACCAGTGCCGTGTCCTCTAAATAAGTGTCCAACCTTTGTTAATAGGGGCCCATAGTATTATTCACCCCCCACAACAGTGTTTTTCCCAATACCTGTGTCACTGCTCATGGGATGGGGCCGCTTCCCCACCTCACCTCGGGACTTCTGCACTGGGAAGAGCAAAGCCCGTTGTCCAGAAGGGAAATAAAACACTTTTCTTGCCGAACGCTGTTCATTTGGGACTTGCCTCAATTTAAAAAGCAGCCAGAAGGGGTGACAAGGGATGACAAGCAGCCCCAGTGCCACCTCCCCAGGAGCACCCTGTGATGTCCCTGTTCCCTCCATCTCCCCAGAGTGGCAGATGGGCCCCGGGGGAATATGGAAAACCACCAAACCAGCCCCAGGCCCTGTACCCAGCAGCAGCCCCCGTGAGAGGTGGGCATGATAAGATCGTGGGATCGCCTGTTTACCCAAGTACCTGGCTTCTCAGGGCAGATAAGATCAAGGGAGCGGCCCCTGCAGCAAAGCGAGCTCACCTAAAGCCACCACGTACCCTCACTGCACTGTGGGGAGCTGACGGGGCATTTTTTATATATGTATTTTTGGCGGTGCTTTATGGAAGGCAAAGCTTCCTCTCCTTTCTGCAGCAGCCACGACGGTGCCAGTGGCGGAGCATCCCTGCCTGGCCACAGCCCTGCCACCCCAAAGGGCACACCACCAGCCTGGCACAGCAAAATATAATATATAAAATATATAAAATACAAGTTTTATGTGTTTATATATAATATTAAATATTTATATTTATCTATGCCTATACACATATACATACATAACATTATGTACAGTATTTATGTATGTGATGTTATAAATAATATTATCTATAAAATAAAAATTATTATATAAAATATATATCCTGTCTTCTCTCTTCCCCCCCTTCAAGGTCAAGACTCCTCTTGGAGCACATTTCCCAGTGTCAAGCTGCAGCCATCCTGGGAAGAAGGGGCTCTGGCAATCACAGCAGCACGCGATGCTTTGCCGAAGCAAAACATTTCCCAAAGTGGTGTTCAGCTGGGTTATCTCCCCTGCTACCTCAGGAAAAATAAAAAAACCTGGTTGCTTCTGTAAAAGCCTAAACCGTGATCGAGAAATGTGCCTTTAGGAAACCATGTCTGAAAAGGGTTTGACTCCATCGTTTGAAGGTGCCACTTTATCTTTCACCTATTGC